CTAATTAGAGTAGATAATTGGGCTTAGCAGGTGTCAAAGTGTTATTGACTCTGCAATCCAGAACAATAGTCTTTTTGTGATTCATTCTAACATCTGACTTAGAATGACTCACCATAATTGTTTCTGACTATGCATCAACTGTGCATGACTGTGCTTCAACTGTGCATAACTGTGCATACTGTGCATCAACTGTGCATGACTGTGCATTGACTGTGCATGACTGTGCATAGCTGTGCATCAACTGTGCATACTGTGCATCAACTGTGCATTACTGTGCAAACTGTGCATTGACTGTGCATTGACTGTGCAAACTGTGCATTTGACTGTGCATGCAGGAACAATAGAGTTTAGTAATAAACTCTTGACTTGGAAACGACTCATTTCAATTGTTCTTGACTGTGCATTGACTGTGCAATTCAGAACAATTGAACAAACAATTCAAACTTTGGAGAGTCATACTGACTCATGATGACTCAGCATGACTCTGCCCAAAGGTATAAATACAGCTCACTTCCCTAGTAGTTACACATCCTCTTTTGTATCAGATACTACCTGAATTGACACTGTCATTCACTACACCTTACTCTGTGGTTATTACAGAAGCCTTAATCTGAGATTATACGGAGATCCCCTTACTCTGTGGGTATACAGAAGCCTTTATCCGAGGTTATACGGAGAACCCTTTACTCTGTAAGTTAACGGAAGCCTTGCTCTGAGGTTATACGGAGAAGCCTGGGCTCTGGCGTTAAACAGAGGCCTTACTCTGAGGTTATATGGAGAAAGCCTTGAATCTGAGGTTATACCAAGATTACCATTTCTATTTTCTTTTCATAGTAGCTTTACTGTTTTTGTTATCTCACCTTCTCTTATTCTAAGAGAAGACTCAATCAACTGACTTGGAGTATTGTTTGATATTTGGGTGTTGTCGCACAAACTGAACTGAACCCTAAACACATTATCAATTGATCACGCCAAATCGTACACTGTACGCTACGTCTATCAATTATCAATTATCTCTGACTACGCGTTTCGCTAACAAGTTTGATGTCAGTTTCCAGAATGGCTGGGAAGAGAGATTCGCCATCTTGGTGCTGCTCGAAGAAGGCGAAGTGGTCAGTGAATCGTTGAACAAGCCCAGGCTGTGCATCAGCCAGGAATGACAGCAAGTTCTTGTACGCCTCGATCCACTGGCCGCGGTCTAGATTCTTCTCGTCCAGTGTCTGCTTCTGGAACCCGCCTACGTCAAGGACAATGGGTCGCTTCTCTGTGCCTGCGGGAGCGTTGAGCTTCTTCGTGGGCAAAGTGGCGGCGTTAGCGGCGATGTGATGGAGGGAGGACATGGTGAAAAAGGGAGAGAGGGCACTCCATGTGAAGGTGGAAGAGTTTGTGCAGCAGGCGGTGGAAGGTGACCGGGAGGGCCAGGCCCTGGACCAAACGCATCCTCTCGCGGGGTTTTTTGGCCTTGCGCTGCTCTTCGTCGTTAGATGCGGGCTTCTTCCTCTTCCCTGAGATGATGTCTCTGAACTTCGACACCGCTTCAAGGGCCGTTCGCGGGGAGGCCTTGGCGAGGATGTGGTCCCAGAGGGTGGTAGAAGGGGAGGCAGGTTCTTCTTCCACTGTGATCAGTGACTTGTTGTCCGACGCATCTTCTGATGTGTCTGGGAAACGGGCATAAAAGAGCCTCTGCTCCGCCTGTTCAGCGTTGCGGGCCGCAATTTTCTCATTCTCGGCGCGCTTCTGCGGGGCAGTGAGGTTCTTCAAGGCTTCGATGACGTTTGCAGAGGAGTGAGTGCGGTGGGTCCTAGACAGAGGCACCGTGGGGCTCGGGGAGTGGTCAGGCATGGAGACGGCCGGACCAGAGGAGGCGTTGGAGGACAAGAAAAAGACGGACACGAGAGATGTGTCGAGGGCGGAGAAGAAGAAAGATGGATCACATGACTATGTACTTGACACATCTCAGACTAGCCTATCCTATGATGTCCTTGAGCCGCTCGTGCCTCACGTCAAGAACATCTTGGATTTTTGTATAATTTTTTTTTACCAAAAACAAAGGGTTTCTGCAAAGTGAAAGTTAGTTATAAAACAATAGGTTTTCAAATCAACTTTCTGAAAGAGGAAATTACAACAAAATCTAAAGGTTTATTTTTTTCACAAAAACATTATCCATAAACTAGTACTTTTAGGAGCTGAATCGACAGTAAACTCTGCAGTGATGATCTAAGTTATGGTCTGTCACAATCAATATCTATCTGAGCTCTATGAGACCTATATCTTTTTAGCTGTCTTATGTACCTAGATATATGGTTCCAAAAAGGAAATTTATTACTGTTAATTATCAGAGAATGTCACAGATTGTTACTAAATCAGAGTTGTATATTCTGACTGTATAAACAAACTGTTACAACTTCTATTAAGTAACAGGGTACCCAGCTTAACATAAAACTTGCTTTCAGAAGCCAACAAACATGAATCTTGCAAAGTTGAGATAGTTTTGCCATTTGAGGATACAAGTTGTGTAGTTTGTCTATATGTCACTAAGTGACTTATAGTCGCAGCTGAACAGTTGTGGCAGTACCAGCCAATCATTAGCAGATCTACAACTGATGAACCTTTATATCCATAACTACTCAATAGAAATATATAATTCAAGTAATGGCAGGAAGATTCTCAAGAGTATTATTAATACACCACCAACTGGACCTGACATTTTACTGATGTCACGTTGAAACATCGTCTGACATCGCATTGTGATGTCGGCACCATATTGATTTGATGTCAAGATCAAATTGAATGGTCAGATCTTTCTGACATTCAGCTGACAACAAACATCATCAGGATGTCTTGCGTAGGATCAGCTTAAGACGTCGTTCTGAGCCTGAACAATGTCACTGCTACTAGCAACAGATGAAAGAGATAGACACATTTTGGTTAGACAGTGAACGGCGTGAATTCAATTAGGTACTACGATACATATCATACTCACATGCCCACTGAGGCGTGCGCCGATATTTGGTCTCCCGCCCCATCATCGTCCACACTACCACTATCCAACTCCACTGCAGTTGCTGGCTCCACATCCCCATCTCCTACCACTTCCGTATCATCATCCTCATCACTGCCTGAATCATCCCGCCCCCTCGCCTTGCGCTTCTGACCCCGCGGCTGACCCCGCTTGACTGTTTTTGCCTCCGCTTGCAAGTAACGGATCCACACCTTGGATGACACCTCTGTAGCGAATGTGCAGGGGCTGGCACTGGGTTTGGGCGGATATTGTTCCTGGTCTAGCTCATAGCACAGCTGGAGTGCGCTAATGACCCATGTCAGTGGTAGCAATGGGATGTATAGTATACAGAGCGCACCCAATATGCTCCTCTGCTGTCGCACCATAGAGCGCTTCAAGTTCGGCATCGACACTTGCCCAGAATTTGCGGTTTGGGTGGGCCTTCTCGACTTCCATGCGCTAATAAATGTCAGATAGCTCCGTGCGGCAGGAGACAGATGTACCATAAGTGCAATGCGATGGTGCAAGGCAAGGGTCGGGCTTAGATCCGGTGCGAAGTCAGTGATGATATCTTGGACGAAGTTGCGTGATGTGAGTCTGTGCAGCAACAGAGTCCTTGACCTACAAAAAAGCATTAACATTTGATGTAATAGATAACCAGGATACGCACCTTTGTTTTCAATGTGTTCTTGGCCAAGCTCATTTGACGCGCACAGATGACGACCAATCCATCATGTGCCGCGTCATTCTCCTCGGTTGGGAACCCATAACGGGTACTGCGGAGAAGCGCTGCCTATAATGGGTGAGGACTTGGATGCTGTCGCCAACATCATAAGACGCACTGCCAATGCCAACTCAGATGCGCTGTCGAAGAACCGCAACTCGGGAAGCAGCAGCATGGTCCGAGAGTGCTTGCAGATTGCTTTCTGCAATTGCGCATCAGTAAACGGAATGGTGGTATGTAGAACCGGACCATCTGGTCATTACTCGGCGTCCACTGCTCAGCCTTGGCCACTGCCAAAGCCATGGCCTCCTCATGCAACGCAACAGTGGCAACAAATGCCATGATTTCACGTTCTTCCAGATTTTTGGTCTGCAGTGAATATCAGAGGAATAAAATGTGAAAGAGATCTGCCAGACGGACCTCGAAGAATTGTCGAAGCAAGGGAAGGTGCCGCTCTGAGACCTTCATCTTCTTGGAAACCTGCTCTCCATACCGAATACGGTCGGCAACTAATTACTAATTTTTATATCCAGAGACTCCAAACTAAGATTCTGGTGTGTCCATTTGCAGTCCCAAGTAAATTCCATACTGAGAGGGGAAGGCATTCACTTATAGTAGCATTTAACCTTTATCAACTGTGAAAAAATAAACATGGATCTCTAGCTAGCCTGGGTGGATAAGGATGGGAGGGAGTGATTCTGATTCTGATTCTGATTCTGATTCTGAGGCCCTGACCTCTGCTATATAAGTCCAGCTTCGGGTGGCCGTTTTGGAGCAAAACCCCGATTCGAAGAAATGACTTAGAGCCTCTCAGAAATATTGCAGTTTTATTGCCACCTTTATTGCAGCATCCCTAAGGGAGTTTTGAGACATTTCTTCTAATTAGAATGGACAGTGCACTTGGGTGTCCATTCTAATCAGAAGAGATAATTGGGATTAACAGGTGGTTAGGGCTGCAAAAACTAATTCTAAAAAACAGAAATTTCCTTTTTCAGACAGTTAGGCAGAAAAACCAATAATTTTGTAACCAACTCTCTATTTGTGGAAATTAAGTATTGGCTTTCGATAATAAAAAATCATTCAAAAACTAATATTTTTTTTGAACTGCCTTCCGAGAGCCAGATTTCCGGTAAACTCCGGAGTGTCTAAAGCTCTTTCTCTTGTTAAAATGGACATTTGCTTCAACTTTGATGATATGTTGTATTGACACAAGAAATTACATTAGGAGCTACGTAACCCAAAACAACAAATAAATATAACTGGCCTGTGCAGCTCCTAAGAGTATTGTGCAATCAGGATATCAGCGGCCTTTTCCGATATCTACACGCATTCAACGAAACAGTCCCAGAAAGGGAAACCGAGCTTACCATGTACGTTGGCGTTGTGACAAACCATCCAGGAACATTTGCCCATGAGCTGATGTCGACCACACGCAGGTTGCCGACCCCGCGGACTTGGAAGTTGTTGTCAAGGACGGCAGTTGGATCTACAATCAAGAGTCACTTTGGAAGAGGAGTGGGCGAATGGCTGGACTCACCACCATCGGCGCCAATTTTTGCCGTGCAACACGCGTGGTGTCCAAACACCCTCTGCAATACATGGTCCTCGATCTGCGCATCGCTGGCCGCTTGCGGTCCGGGATATACCTCGGCGTCGACATGATCTATGATACCGGTTTGCGCTACGACGGAGCGTGCGATCTTGACGCCTTCACGCAGGGATGCGATGTCTGCTGGACCTCCTGGGCCCTCGAAGCGGTGCTTGTTGATGACGAGCTTGTCCTGTGGATGTGGGCCAGTCAGTTGGACGGTGCCGCGCGACGATGGGTGCGCTTTCAGGGTGATGGCCGTCAGTGCGTTGTGGACGTTTGCAATCTGTTCGGGAAACCCGTGATAAAAGCCCTATAAACAGTATCTCAGCCGCGAGCAAAAGGACACAGCCAGTCAACACACCGCAAAATATGCAGGGAACCAATAGACCATGATATCTGGCTCCGTTAACCCCGGGGTGCTGTTCGTCTGGAGCATCCAAAGGGCAGCCCCGAGCGAGTAAAGATTTTGCCCGCCTGTTGCACTCCATTCGGCTAAGCATGGGTCATCCTTGCCGTCGTAAAGGACCGTGCAACCATTATAGAGAGTATGATTCTGCTTGAGCGTCCAGATGACGGACAATTCGTCATGATCCTGCAAGTTGGCGCCGACTCCGGGAAGGTTCACGATGGGTTGGATGCCGTTGGCGGTGAGTTGCTTTTTGTCGCCGATTCCGGAGAGCATCAACTACGAGACCTTGTGAGTGACGAATATGTACGTGGTGTGCATATCTCACGAGTTGCGGGGTTTGAAACACGCCGGCGCTGATGATGACCTCGTATTTTGCGGTGACAAGTTTGGGTACTAGGATCTTCTTGCCGTTAAAATTGCTTGCGACGGGCAGGGCCGCATTGGGAACTAGTTGGACACCATAGGCCTGGGGCTTTCCGGTCTTCTTGCTCTTGCACAACTGGATCTTGGTGACGAGCGTGTCCGTGGCGAGCGTCAACTTTTTCGGCGCCGCGGCGTGGGTGTCGCGGATGAAGTCGTGAACATACGACCGGTTGTGGACTTCTGAGATGGTGTAGGAGGGAACGCCTGCGCCAAAGGCAGCCTCCGTCTCCGCAGCATTGATGTCGGAGATTACCCCGGGAGGGAAGCTGCCCATGGTACCTACGACGTCGAGTAATTGATTGTCTACAATTGTTTGAGTCTCGGCGGTCAATAAGAAAGATGTGTATATCTCACCGGCGAATTGTGGCAACACAATTATCTGTGTGGGGTTCAAGCTGGTTGTAAGCCATCCATCAAATCCGTGATTCGCATCGCCCGCTTCAGCGTACAAATTGCGCTCGAGCTTCGTGAAGTATGAGCGCATGTGATCGTAACTCCAAGTCGAATCGTTGAACATGCCAGCGATGGCGTCGAAGTCCTTGCGCGTCAACCCAATGTGGTTGATCATAGCATTGTGGATGGTCGAGCCACCCAAGGCGCGCGCGCGGGGGTACCATTCGCCATCGCGGGGGAACTTGGCGCCAAGAGAGTATTGCGAGTGGCTGTAATTCAATTCGGAGGCGGGGTCTAGGTTAGCAGTTAGAGTCAGAGAAGAAGCATGAGAAAATAAGGCTAACCCTCTATGGCACGGCCGAAGTAGAATGGGATGGTAGAGTTGACGGTCGTAACATCGTGCCCCGCGTCAACAAGCAGTACTATATAAATATCGGTCAAAGGAGGTAAGAGCTAAATATAGTCGAACTCACCCGAGAAGCCGGCCTTGACCAGCCTCGAAGCAACAGGACCGCCCCCAACCCCGGCGCCAACCACTATAAAATCGTAATTCGCCTTGGCCGGATCGGGACATGCATCAAGCCCAAGCAGCGCGTCTGCATCAGCTGAAACGGTCGCGTCTGCATCAAGGGAGACTAAAGCAGCCAAAGCGCCGTAGAGAAGAGCGCTGGAGAGTAGCGACAGGAATGCACGGGAGCGCATGGGAGGAGTAATGAGCGACGGGAAATGGCGGGTAGAGCAAGCAGGAATCAGAGGGATGGTTTATATTGTTGAGAAGTTAAGAGCTTTGAGAAGGAGAATGATGCATCACGAGGAAAAGAAGGATGTTTGTGGGGGTCTAGCGATAGACAGATACTGTTTGTTATCCAGTTAGTTGGCACCGCCGGGTTCTCCGATGTCAGAACGTGGGCGTACCGACAATCATCGCCCACTATCTTGAACGTCGATACATATTAATAAATGCCAGCCTGAGCGTTTTACCATAGAAGGCGAGTGTAGAAGGCAAAGGAGGAGAGTGACGTGTCCATGTTACCGTCACAGTGATTGCCGCTCAGTCACGAGTGTCACAGATTACGTGTTTTTTCTTCTTGCTTTCGTCTCCCACTCCACTGACGTCGCCGACCATGCGTCCCCGCGGAATTGCTTCCAAGCTATACGCATACAGGATAGCGACTTCCTGGCGTAAGATGCGAATTGCTCCCGCGGCGGTCGTTGCAGATATCTCCGGCTTCACTGTCTGACGTTTTTGCATTCAATCTGGATGCCCTGGCGTAGGATATACATTCACCGCCTTCCTCACCTGACCCCGCACTAGACACTGCAACTTACCAACCGCGATGCTACCGCCCACCAATATCCGGTCATTTCCGAAGCGCAAATCATCCCTCTGCGCTCTACAGTTGGTACCTCACTCAGAATTGAAGCGCGTGCCAGTGTGCTTATGCTTGTCCATGCTTCTGCGTTCACGTCCGTATGATCACATATTCAAATTTGCAAATAAATCCCTAATACCACCGCCGTAGATCCATTTGAACCCACATTGACACAGCGACCGCCGCAATGTCAGATGGCCCATGTAGTGGCATGAATGGTCGTGCTTTCAAGCGTGTCTTCATATCCATTATTCCCCTGACACGGCTGAACGCGTGGAAGGAAGAGTGGAGTCGATAAAATGGCGGAAAACGGACGAAGTTGTTCGGCGTCCCCGAAAATAGAGTTGATCGCTGGTCTCGAGCTGCACTGCCTGGTGTGCCTCAGCGAAAGCGCGTATTTTGACCTTACATATGGTATGATCAGCCTTCGTAAGTCCTGCTTTTGACGATCAATTATTATCTATATTGACCAGTGACGAGTTTTTCTAGCAAAATCACTCCAGTGTTCGGCCCCGAATAAATACAACTCATAAAAGAACCGAAGCACAGGTGGGTCTGTACGCCTACGATAAAGGAAGGACAGCTGAATAACGATAAACTTAGACTGCACAGTCGCAATGAATAGGTCTATACACCATGAGACTTGCGCAACTCCGCATCCATATCGATGACGCCATCCAAATCTCCCGCACTCCGCCCGAAGCTCTTCTTCCCGTGGTTTGAGGAGCTGACCGCGGAGAACGAGTGCACGCCAACCGAGACTTGCAACGGGACGTTGTTTGACCCGGTGTTTGGGTAATTGGCGTGCTGCGAGTCAGCGGCCTCCGTGCGCTGCCCCCATCCGCCGCGCGCATTCAGCGTTGACATTAGCGAGTTGGAGTAGAGCTTCGACTGGGGGAAGTTGAAGAGGAGATGCAAGCCGGTTGGCTGTAGGTGGTTTCAGTATCGGGTCGAGAAACAGCGAGTCTGACGAACATAGCCAAGGTAAAGTCCTAGATGAACCATGGAAAACGCAAAACTGATCATCCCCGTTTGCATAGTTAAACGAATAAGCTTGTCTAGCTTTGTATCCGTGGAAGAGAAGCCAGTGCGGTGGGTATTAAGATAGAAAACGAGCGTGCCAGTAATGAGAAGGTCAGCAGTCTGCATTTTTCGAGAGTGAGACCTAATGATTCCCTATAAAGAAACCAAAAAGACGCACCGTCGCTCCGACGATCCAGACAATAACTGTCTCCTGGAACTCGGTGAACCGGGCAAACTGCGGAATGTAAGAAATTGCTGCAGCCGTCGCCATTGCGCCAACTGGTTTGGAGTCAACAACAATATTAACAACAAAAACTCGAGACTGTGACAGACAGAAATCGGCGGCGGCACAAAAGCCTACCAAGCCCGTGATGATATAACTCTTGGTCAACGCGAAAATGCGCCAGGCGTAGAACCCCTCGACCATTGCTCCAATAAGGCCAACCATCGCTGGGTCTGTCGCAAAGACTATATTGGACATTGAGTAAATTCTACTGTGAAGCAGGCGAACTTATCACTCACTCCAATTTGCAGAGCCCAGATAATTGAAATCGCCGAAGTGGAGGATGAGCGTGTCATACATGTAGTAAATCATGAACGCGGTATTGAGTGTGTCCGCGACGGTGAGCACTGCAATGAACACCTTGATCCACTTTGAATCGCTGACTACTGTGTAAAAACTAGCAGAAAGGGAAGAGGGAACCCTACCGTGAGTAAGTGGTTGCATAGATGTACACCTGCACGATCATGACGCCCATGAGCAGGACGTTCAAGATTGTCCTGCCCCACCTTTGCCTCAGCGCTCTTAGCAAGCGGTAGGAGCAAACGACATACCCGATGAGCATAGGCCCGTGCGCAGCCTCGGCAGGGTTTGAGAACGATGGCATTGGTATCATGGCGGCGAGCAAGAACAGGCGAGTTGGGAGGGAGAAAGTGTCTGCTTATAGTATTCCGAACAGGGACGTCGTGTGGCAGTTGGTTCCGCGGGTGGGGTGTGCGTGAGTGCGTGAGAGAAGCCAATCAGAGGAAGAAGCGCGGATGTTGTGGACTTGTATAGTATAAGTATTGAGTGCTCAAGATAGAACTGAGTTGTGATTGGGCAGCTGCTTCTTACATCACTGATATCGCGAAGCCAACGCGAACTCATGAGCTCCGCCATTCTATTCTTGATACCCCGTGAGCGCCGACTCCCTTTCCGCTAGTTGTGTTTCTAATCTTATGCTCAAGATTTTGACAGGATGAATGATGGATCTTGTCCAGTGCTGGCAGGCTCGTAAACGGGCACACTGATCGGGTGAGTATCATGATGTCGATCCCGGAAGAACTTCGTAAGTAATACCCAAATCTGAAAAAGCAAGGTGTGTGAAGGGTCGACGTGAGTTTTCTCCGCATTCATCAGCAGTTGCACGTGGATTCCGACCATCCGCCCGGCATAGCCTGCGGGTGAGGTGCCGACGTTACGGAGACTCGGAGCAGGTCACCTCACGGGCGGGGAATCCAACGGCAACAAGGACATCGGCGTCGCAGACAGCATGAGCGATTGGTAAGAAGGATACCGAGGTAATCCTCCAAGTATTGCAACCTCAGGCTTGTGCGTTCGTATTGAACTTGTTTCGCACGGAAGTTACCGACAATTCATACTATGCTTAGTTCTTCGACCTGTGATGGCTCACCAGGGCCAACAAGACGACAACATGGGTCTCACGCAGCCCAACTCTTGTCCATTCGCCTGGTGCGTTCGAATACGTTCTGTTGCCGACGAGACCGTCTGCCATCTCCTGCGCACCGATCACGCATTGCCGAAGAATGCATTAATATTGTACGGGGAAACTTTATGTGATCAGTATCCATCTTTCAAGTTGCCAATGCCAGTGTGCATGCGGATGGCCGAAAACGGAGGCTGCTAAACGGTAATCGCAGGCTGAGTTGGTGACTCACTGCCTGCGGTTGTTCCGCGAACACTTTGGTTCTAAAAAAGGGAAAACAGTTGGAATAAGATGCGCTGCACTTGCGAGGGTGGGGTTCACATTCCCTTTCCGACTGACTCCTCCGACGCACCACAATGGCTGCTTCATCCGCGACAGTCGCGCTCCCTTCCATTCTCGTCAGTGATAGCAGACATATCCGACGAATGAGCAGCTGCTGACCATAAACACCTATCAGGTGTCTCCCATGGCCCTCCTGTCCGTGGCCATTCTCGGCATGCTGACCTACCTCGCCCCTCTACTCTTCCGCAAACAGCTTCGGGGGCCACGCGACGAGCCTCTCCCCCCAGGGCCGCTGTTCCGGCGGCTCTGGCTTGGCCAGTACAATGAGCTCGTGTTCGATAAGTGGGCGCGGGCATTCGGGCCACTGTACTCCGTGTGGTTCGGAGACCAGCTCATCGTGGTGCTTAGCCACCCACGCGTCGCGCAGGACCTCCTCGTTGAGAATGGTGCCGTGTTCTCGAGTCGCAAGGACTACTACGTCAAAAACGAGGTCATCCTGCATGACAGGGCGATCACGGCCAACCCGTATGACCAACGTTGGTGAGTATTCCGCTCGGGCTGAGACAAAGCTGATGCATTTCATGAAGGCGGGATCATAGAAATACGGCGATGCGCTTTCTGTCAGAGAGGGCGGTTGCGGGTTATAGCGACGCAATCGAAAGCGAAGTGGTGACGTTGCTGCGCTCGTTGTACGACGAGTCCAACGCTTGTGCGAAACCCGTTACACCTGCATTGAGTGCAGTGAGGTTCACCCTCAAGTACGCAAGCTCCTATGACTGTTTGGACTCACGCGAGACACCAATAGTAACATGCTACGCGTTTCCTTTGGTCAACGGACGACCTCGCTGGAAGATGCTCTACTCCATCGCATTCAGCGGTTGGTAATGGAGTTTGACGACATCACCTCGCCCACATCCAATGCCATCGATTTTGTCAAGCCGCTGCGCTGGTTTCCGACCCGGACATACAAACGCGCGGCTCAGCTGAACGCCGAGATGAATGACCAATACGGGAGCATGATTGCAGCAATGCAGGAACGTCTCGACAATGGCGAGGCCGACGCGATCCCAGAGTGCGCTATAAAGCACATCCTACAGAATGAAGCATGGGAGCACGAGGACGTGTTGATGCTTGCAGTCGCATTTGCCTTTGGCGGCGTCCATTCGGTATGTTGCAGGATCCAACAGAGTTACGTTGACTGAGAATATGGGGCAAGATTGCCGGCATTCTACAGTGGTTTATTGCGTTCATGGCGACTCATCCGGCCGTTGCTGCTGCCGCTCACGCCGAGCTTGATCAGGTCGTCGGGCGAGATCGACTCCCGACGAATGAAGACGAAAAGGACCTGCCCTACGTAAGTTTGCGTTTGTAGTGCGGTCTGCAGATGCTGCACTGACCGTATCCAATAGATTCGTGCCATTATCAAAGAGGTCTTCCTTTTGCCACCTTGTTGTTGCTTCCGTAATTGAGTCGTCTGACAGGTCCAGCGGATTCACTCCCCGTTCTGGGTGCCCACGCCGCACTATTCGACAGCTGACTTTGTCTACAACGGGATGTTCATTCCAAAGGGCACAGTTGTCATCCTGAATTGCTGGACGATGCACCACGACGAAACGCGCTACCCCGACAGCTACACTTTCAACCCCGAGCGATATTTGGGAGACGACCTGAGCTCGTCTGCGTCCAGCAAGCTGCGTGATCCGATGGCGAGGGACCATTGGGCATTCGGCGCGGGACGCAGAATCTGCCCTGGGTTCGCGATTGCTGAGCGGGAGATCTGGCTAGCCGTGAGCGGGATGCTTTGGTATGGTTTTATCCTCGGAATCAGGATTTCGCTGATGCTTTGCTTTTCGAGGGCATATAACTTTGCTCAGGTGCCTGGCGCGCCGATTTCGTTGGCAGAATACGAGGGCTCGTCGGGCCGTACGCCGTTGCCTTTTGAGATACAACTCCAGCTTCGACATACAAAAGCCAGAGAGATCATCGAGAATCATGAGGGTTGGCATTCCTTGTAAGGTCAGGGGGAATTGAAGGATTTTCGGAGAGCTTTAGAGAGTGTTGACTTGTCAGATCGCAATAAGTATTGTTTCTGCGACGTGGAACAGGATACGCACCAGGGTAGTGTGGCGAATGTGAATGCAGGGGTGGCAGCAAGCGATTCCGGGAAGAATTCGAACAAATTCTCGCCTAAACGCCGGCGGTCAGCAATGCAGCTTTCACTCAAGAAGATATGGCTTCGCACCTTGAGAATTTCCTCCATAAATGCGAGCCCCCTGAGCCCCGTCTGACGAGCCGCTGACGCAATGACCACCCTCGGCCGCCTTAACCCGCGTGATTTGTCCGACAAGGCCGCTTGAAGCCTATTCACCCAGGTAAAGTGAAAACGAAGGAGCGGCTAAGAGGGGGCCAACTAGCGATGGGTTGGGCGTTGCACGGAAGTAACCCCGGGAGAATGAGGGTTTAGTAAGAGTTATGGCCCTCCACATGTATGGATTGGCAGGCGGATCCCAAGGATGCTCATTGCTGACGTGGGGAAGCAAAAGACGTGGCAGTGGAGTCACATCCCGCGTGACGGCTTACATACACGCCACATTTTTTCTTTCTCTGCCCGACGACCGCCGGGGTCTGTGACGACGCCATGTGTATGTCGAGCGGAGGCAGCGGACGTCCACACTCGCTCCGTAGCCAACATCCAACACGGACGCCACTGGGAGAAGGAGACCAGGGAAAGAATAGGGAGGGCATCACGAAGAAGCGCCCGGGCTTCCTAAGCATATTGAATGCGGGCTCCGTGGACTGAATGCGGGTAAGTCAGCATGACCTAGAACAATTCTCGATGGCCGCGCGTTGGCTTGGCTGCTGACCGCACTTGCTCCCACCATAAAGCAAACTGCATCCGGCACTTCGCATAGATAGACTGCTAGACTGATCGTCACCCCCACACTTCTCCCCCTCCAACCATGGCGACAACCTTCAGCTACACCTTCGACTCCCCGGCGTACAAGGGCACGAGTACCTTCGAGACCGGTGTATACATCGACGGCAAGTTCAGAGACGGTGCGAATGGGACGACCATCGAGTGCGTGTTTATCTTTACCCCCCTCTCCATATTGTCTCACCTGGCGATAGTGTGATTAACCCTGCTACTGGCGAGCTCATCACCAAGGTCGCAGAGGCGGTTGCCGCGGACGTTGACGCCGCAGTCATCGCCGCACAAAAGGCCTTCGACACCGTTTGGGGATTGAAGGCCAACGGCGCGCGCCGCTCGGAGTTGCTCAACAAGCTCGCGTCGCTTATGGAGGCGCATAGCGATGAGCTGGCTGCACTGGAGGCATTGGATAATGGTGTGTTTGGTGTCCTTCTTCGTTGGAAGCAGTAGCTAACGGAGGGCAGGGAAAACGCTGTTCTGGGCGAAGAACGCAGATATTCGTGGAAGCATCGCTACCATCAAGTATGTTGTTTGACTGATACACGGCAGGAACTTATCGTCTGACACGTTTGCATAGGTACTACGCCAGTCTCGCGCAGACGATCGCGGGACAGACCATTGAGACCGACGAAAGCAAGATGACCTACACGCGACATGAACCCATTGGCGTTGTTGGACAGATCATTCCTTGTCTGTCTTGTCCTTTTTGCCCTCGCAAAGTGATTGACACCCCGTAGGGAATTTCCCACTCTTGATGATGTCGTGGAAGATCGGTCCAGCACTGGCGACGGGCAACACGATCGTTCTGAAGCCGTCTGAGCTGACGCCACTCACCGCGCTGCGCATGGGCAGTCTCATCAAGGAGGCGGGCTTCCCAGACGGTGTCGTCAACATCCTCATTGGATATGGTCCAGTGGCGGGCCAGGCTATTGCGGAGCATAACGATATCGAGAAGGTATGTGACGTCTTCTTTCTCATGCATGCAGTCTACTGAACTGGATGGGTGGCAGGTCGCATTCACGGGGTCGACCCTCGTGGGACGAAAGATCATGACTGCTGCGGCGAACTCGAATCTAAAGGATGTCACCCTTGAATTAGGAGGGAAGAGCCCTACCATTATCTTCGATGACGCGGATTTGGACCAGGCAGTCAAATGGGCTGTTCATGGGATCTTGTGCGTGGTATCGCATGCTTTCTATGACGCAGTCTGATATTGCATTTCACAGTTGGAATCAGGGCCAGTCCTGTATCGCTAACTCACGCGTCTACGTGCAGGATGGTATCTACGATGCCTTCGTGGCCAAGTTTGTGGAAGCAGCAAAGAATCGTGTGCTTGGGGATCCAATGGCGGCGACAAGCGAGCAAGGACCGCAGGTCAGCAAAGGGCAACTCGACGTATGTCTCTCCTTCCGCTGTATACACACCGCTCTCATCGCCCCTCACAGCGCATCATGGGCTTCATCAAGTCGGGCAAAGAGGCTGGCGCCACACTGCTCTGCGGTGGTGAGCAGCACGGCACGAACGGGTACTTCGTACAGCCAACGCTCTTCACGGACGTCTCCGACGACATGGAGATCGTGCGCGAGGAGATCTTCGGCCCCGTCGGCGTGCTGATCCGCTTCACGGACCCCGCCGACGCGATCAAGCGCGCGAACGACACCAAGTACGGGCTTGCGGCAAGCGTCTTCACCGAAAACCTTAAGCGCGCGATCGAGACGGCCAACCAGCTCAAGGCGGGCACCGTCGGCGTCAACACGACCAATAACCCCGACCCGAAGGTGCCGTTTGGCGGGTACAAGCAGAGTGGAATCGGACGGGAGCTCGGCGAGTATGCGCTGCGGCATTACACAGCGGTCAAGGCGGTGCATTTGAATCTTGGCTGGCGGTTGTGAGGCGCAGGTGTACGTGTAATCGAAATATCTGTTGTATCACGATCAAACAAGTCTCGGACCATTGTAGTTTGGCATGGGATCTTGGAATCTGGATGCATGTGAGATTTGATCAGCTTGGCCGAATTAAGAGAATGCACACCTTTGTTGGGTGTCATGAACCACTACTTACAGCCCTTTCTGCAACAAAACTTCTGAACTCGACTTCAACAAATGTAGTCCCATGTTTAGTGTAATAATTTCCCACCGATTGGGGTCATAAAATAGTAATCTGATATTAGTCATGATAAATGTCAAAGAGTGATATGCATACACTAATCTGGTACAAACATTCAGTGAGTTTGAAATGAGCCCATTTTTGTCACCCTTCCTTTGGTAACTAGCTTTCATCTGAAATCTTGGTGTGTGTGACAGAAACCATTTGTCAAATGGTTTCAAACCAAGGCCCAATATTATATTATTCAAAATTATATATATAGATATTACTCTGATATGCTTCTGGTATTATTATGGATAAGATATCATCAATTATCATATATCATTCTGAGGAGCACCATTTTCAGGGCCAAAATCAAGTCAGATAATGGATTGTGTTGATGTCAGGGGAACCTCCCTTTCGGCCCGGAGACGCGCCCGATTCCGGTCCGACTCCGGTTCCGACTCCGGTCCGGCCCTCCATCTCGCCCACACAATCACCGATCCGTCAACGCCCTCCCGACGGTCGCCCTGGGACCTCGCCTGCGACGCCGCCCAAGCCTTCTGTGCCCGACAGCGGCAGCTACGGACAAGCAGTATATAGTCAGCTACCTAGCAGGCGGACCCTTAGAGTTTCTTCTCTTCGGATCCTCCCCTGCTAGGTCAGCTTCATTTGTATTCGCTTACCAATGTTCACTCTTCGGATCCTCCCCTGCTAGGACCTTGATCTCAGGCCTCCGGGGTTGCCCTTACAGCAGAAGAAACTCTCTACGGGATTAACCGGACAAGATTGCCAGGTTCGGCGCTGACTCAGGCTCGGAGTACAAGTCCGTTCCGCCCTCGTCACCGCCCCTGCCACTTGTCCCCTCCTCCTCTACTCCTGTGGTCCCCGCACCCGTCATGCCGTCCGGAGTCACTCCTACCGCAGACGCCCGGCTGGACTCACTCGAGGCGAAAATTGACAGCCTAACTGAGGCCCTTGCTTTACTCACCAACCAGGCTTCTGCTGCTGCTGCCGCCGCTAATAATGCTGGCGGACCCCAAACACCATCGCCGGAGACGTCGATTCCGACTCCGACTCCGGTCCAGGGCGACTCCGAAGCCCTTTTTGGCGACATCAACTTCGCCTCAAAATTGGTCTTGCGACCAAACCCCCCGTTCACCTTCAACGGCGACCGGAAACGCGGCCGCGCGTTCCTCTACGCCGTCCGCACCTACGCCCGCCTTGCCCCCGAGGCCTTCGTGGTCAACGGAGAGGCGAGCGAGGAAAAGGCCGTCCGCTATGCCATGTCGTTTATGGCAGAAGGACCCGCTCAGCAATGGGCGGAGCGCCACGGAAGCAAAGCCCCGTTTCCGTTTCCGTCCTGGGGCTCGTTCGTTTCCGAGTTTCGACTCCGGTTCGTCGAGGAGAACAAGCAAGATCACGCTCTCTCCAAGCTGGAGACTTCCGCCTATCACATGGGCACGAAGGATGTCTACCAGTACACTGACGACTTCGAGGACCTGATGGACCTCGCCGGATTCGAAGACGCGTTGGTCAAGGTGACCAAGTTCCGCCATGGACTTGATCCCTTGATCAATAACGGAATCACGTCCTCGAACGACCCCCGGACCTCCGGGACTACCTTAGCTGGCGCACCCGGGCCTTCCGTCAATACGAGGCCCTGGTCCGGGCCAAGCTGATCAAGTCAGCCGCCCCCAAGACGCCTGGCGGTTTGATTCGGACTCCGTTTCCGGTCAACCGCATCCCGGCTCCGGCCCCCTTCCGCCCGGTGGCTCCGGTCGTGCCACCCGCGGCCCGCACCCCTGCTCCGGCGCCTCCAGCTCCTGTCCCTATGGAGTTGGATCGCACCAGGGCTCGGGGGTGCCCCTCGTCGCGCCTGCTTCAGGTGCGGCGACCCAAACCATCTCGCCCGGGATTGCCCCCTCCCCGCGGACGTCCGCTCAATGGACATCCTCGACGAGGTGATCCAACAACTCGGTGACGAGATGTTAGCGGAGTTGATCGCCCGCTACATGGACACAGCTGCCCTGCCAGAGACGGCAGCGGAGTCAATGGCCGGAGAGGATTTTGTCCCCCGCGACGAGTGACTGGTGTGCCCTCGTTCGCGTCTATAAATCGTTTTGCCTCTTTGTATGATGAATGCAGTTCCTTGCCCTTCAATGAGCCCGAAACGAAAGACACAACCCTCTCCTGCCCCCGCCTCGACTCCGTCTCCGACTCCACCCGCCACTCCGGTCATCGTCCTTCGCCGCCTCACTGCCTGGGAAAAGAAACTGCCCAGGCAGTACACTGTTGCCGCTGCCCCTGGGGCGAACTCCCTCCACCTCCCGTTGGAGCTCGAGTCCACCACCAGCGCGCTGAAGCTCTCACTCTCTGGGCTTGTCGACTGTGGTGCCACCTCCGACTTCATTGACACGAACTATGTCGCTCGGAATGGCATTCCGGTCCGCACCCTCGATCAGCCGATTCCGGTTTTCAATGTCGATGGCACCCCCAATGACGCTGGCTCCATCAAACAGATCGCGGACTTGGTCCTGCGCTACAAGGGCCATGCCGAACGAGTTCAACTGGCCGTCACCCATCTTGGCAAGCAAGACCTCATCCTGGGGTATTCCTGGTTGCGGAAGCATAACCCAGAGATCAATTGGGAAACCAAGGAGGTCAAGATGACACGGTGCCCCCGCAATTGCTCGACCTGCTGCGAGGAGGAACACGTCGAACGGACCGAGTTGCGGCGACTCCGGTCGCTCCAGAAACGTCTCCGCTCCGGCCCGTTCCCCTCGGTTTGCACTATGGACCTCTCTGGCCCTGAGGACGGAGACGACTCCGATTCCGGTCTCGATTCCGACCTGCCTGATCTGACGCCTGACTCGGACTCGGATGACGAAGATGACCAGCTCGAAGATGGCGACCGCATCTTCTACACCTCGTTCCGTCCCTCAGAGGAGATACGCGCAGGTAGCACCGTCTCACAGCGTCTGGCCGAAGCCTTCGCCAGGAACTCCGCCCCACCGCCCTCCGAGATCCCGGACTGGGCTAAGGAGTTCCAGGACGTCTTCAACAAGGAGTCCTTCGATATGCTACCGGAACGGAGAGCCTGGGACCACGCCATTGAACTCGTCCCCAGACACTAAGCCCACCAACTGCAAGGTGTACCCCATCTCGCCCCTCGAGCAACGCGAGCTCGACGCGTTCATCGAGGAAGGGCCTTCGACGGGCCGGATTCGCCCCTCCAAGTCTCCGATGGCGTCTCCGGTCTTCTTCGTCAAGAAGAAGGATGGCGGACTCCGCTTCGTCCAGGACTACCGTGCTCTTAACGCGATGACTGTCAAAAACCGGTACCCCCTTCTGCTGATCAACGACCTCATCAACCGGCTCAAAGGCGCTCGTTACTTCACCAAACTCGACGTCCGTTGGGGCTTCAACAACGTTCGGATCAAGGAAGGTGACGAGTGGAAGGCGGCTTTCCGGACTAACCGAGGCCTGTTCGAGCCCTTGGTGATGTATTTCGGCCTGACAAACTCCCCCGCGACGTTCCAAACGATGATGAATGACATTTTCCAGAACCTCATCCTCTCCGGAGACGTCATGATCTACCTTGACGACATCCTGATCGCCCATGCCGACCTCCAGAAACACCGGCAGATCGTTCAGGAGGTCTTGCGGCGACTCCGAGAGCACAAGTTGTACCTCCGAGCAGAGAAGTGCGACTTTGAAAAATCGTCAATCGAGTACCTCGGAGTCATCATCTCCCACAACCACGTCGAAATGGACCCCGTCAAGGTCGCAGGCGTCTCCGCTTGGCCGACTCCGGAGAACAAGAAGGACATTCAGCAGTTCCTTGGGTTCGCTAATTTCTACCGCAGGTTCATTCGGGACTTCTCGACCCTTGCGCGGCCTCTTTTTGTGCTCACCAAGAAGGACCAGCAATGGACTTGGGGCGACGCAGAGGCCTCCGCGTTCCAAGCGATCAAGGATGCAGTCACCTCGGAACCGGTCCTGGCGATTCCGGACGATGCACAGCCTTTCCGACTCGAGGCGGACAGCTCTGATTATGCGACGGGGGCGGTTCTTTCTATTCCAAAAGCTTAAATGATGTCCAGCGCAACTACGAAATCCACGACAAGGAGATGCTCGCGATCATCCGCACACTCGAGGAGTATAGACACTTCCTCGAGGGCGCTGCGCACCCTGTCGAGATTTGGACTGACCATAAGAATTTGGAGTACTTCAGGAAGACACAGCACCTCAACCGGAGACAGGCCCGGTGGTCCCTGTACCTCTCCCGGTTCGATTTCACGCTGCACCACAAGCCTGGCCGTGACATGGGTCGACCTGACGCCCTCTCCCGGAGACCCGACCACGGAGTCGATTCCGACAACTCCGATGTCGTCCTTCTGCGGCCTGAACTCTTCCACGTCCGCGCACTCGAGGGTGTTTCCGTTTCCGGTCCCGGCTCTGAACTCCTCCGCGACATCTGTGATGCCCTCTCCGGTGAGCCTGATCTAGAGGAGCCCGTCGCACTAGCGGCCCGGCAACCTCTTAGGGTTCAAGGTCAAGCTCGAGGCCCCCGCTCCCCACGATCTGACGAGTGGGCCGTCTCCGGCGGTCTTCTCCATTTCCGAGGAAAGATCGTCGTACCAAAGGACAAGGACCTCCGGAGACGCATCATCGAGCTCTGCCATGACACCCGAGTCGCCGGACACGCAGGTCGTTTCAAGACCCTGGAGTTGGTCTCCCGGAACTACTGGTGGCCTCAGATGTCTCGCCATATCGGCCGGTATGTTGCGACCTGTGACTTGTGCTGTCGCACCAAGGCACTCCGGAGACTGCCCCACGGAGAGCTACACCCCACGGAAACGCCCCGGACGCTGGCATACCGTCTCCGTCGACTTCATCGTAGAGCTTCCCGAAGCCCATGGGTACGACGCGATCATGGTCGTCGTTGACACCCTCGGAAAGCGCCCCACTTCTCGGAGTGTCATACAACGGTCGATGCAGTAGGGGCAGCCCGCCTCTACTACCGGAACGTCTGGCGGCACCATGGGACTCCGGAGAAGTACGTCTCCGACCGCGGCTCGCAGTTTATCGCGGACTTCACCCGAGAACTTTGGCGTCTAATCGGCATCAAGCCCGCCACGTCCACCGCGTACCACCCGCAGACAGACGGTCAGACAGAGCGCGTCAACCAGGAGCTGGAGCAGTACTTGCGGATCTTCACCAACTATCAGCAGGATGACTGGGATGAGCTGATTCCGGCCGCGGAGTTCGCCTACAACAACCATGTCCACTCCTCCACGCAGCAGGTCCCCTTCATGACAGACACGGGACGGCTCCCCGCATGGGCTTCGAACCCGGAGTCCGCTCCGCTATGGAGTCGGTGAACGAGTTCCGCGACCGACCGCCACTGGGGTCGCCGGCCAAGGCCGCTCACTAAGGCCAAGGAGGAATACAAGTGCTACTACGACCGGAGACGCACTCCGTCTCCGGAGTTTAAGGTTGGCGACCGTGTTTGGCTGGATGCCTCTGACATCAGGACGACTCGCCCCTCGGAGAAGTTCTCCCACCGCCGCCTCGGACCGTTCAAGATAGTCGCGGAGATCAGCAAAGGTGCCTACAAGCTCGACCTCCCTCCGCGCTACTCGAAGCTCCACCCGGTCTTCCCCGTTGTCAAGCTCGAGCTCGCCCAGGACGACCCCTTCGACGGACGCCCCGGCTACGACCAGCCCCTCCGGACCTCGAGGACGGAGTCCCGGAGTGGGAAGTAGAGGAAATCCTGGACGCAAGGGTGAGGTATAAACGGCTGAACTACTTCGTCAGATGGAAAGGCTACGACGCATCGCACGACCAATGGGTCCGCTTCGACCGCGTCTTTGCCCCGGAGAAAATTGCGGAGTTCTATCGTAAGTACCCCGGCAAGCCACGACACATCGCCTCCGCGACCTTCGACTCGATTCCGTTCCGGTCTATGCGTCGAGACGCCGCATTCAAAGGGGGGGGTGATGTCAGGGGAACCTCCCTTTCGGCCCGGAGACGCCCCCGATTCCGGTCCGACTCCGGTTCCGACTCCGGTCCGGCCCTCCATCTCGCCCACACAATCACCGATCCGTCAACGCCCTCCCGACGGTCGCCCTGGGACCTCGCCTGCGACGCCGCCCAAGCCTTCTGTGCCCGACAGCGGCAGCTACGGACAAGCAGTATATAGTCAGCTACCTAGCAGGCAGACCCTTAGAGTTTCTTCTCTTTGGATCCTCCCCTGCTAGGTCAGCTTCATTTGTATTCGCTTACCAATGTTCACTCTTCGGATCCTCCCCTGCTAGGACCTTGATCTCAGGCCTCCGGGGTTGCCCTTACAGTTGAGTTGGGCTCGGCGACAGCTCGGAATGTCGTTCTTGGTCACGTGCTTCCCACGTGTGCATTCCTCCTACTGGGGTGCCTGTTCCCTGTTATCACCTGCTGCGTGTGGCAGGCCCTCGGTGGCCCGACACCAGCAGCAGTCTGTATGAAATCTCTGTTCAATTCACAGCTGGGACATAACCCCAACCTCTCTAGTTGTGGCTGAAATTATCATTATATTACTTTATATTATATTATATTATTATATTCTCATATTATTATTAGAGCAGTAGCCTAATATATTCTTTTACAGAGTTGCCTCAGAAACAGAGCCAGAGTAGCTATGGTGACAAATTGAGGCCTAGAAACTGATAGTCTATTTTTCAACAAAGAACAGGGCATGAATAATATGTACTAATTGCTCACAAATAGTGGTCATGAACAAGGGAGCCACAATATAGTTCAGATGTAATACCTTGATATACAGTGGTACTCAAATATATGCATCAGCTAGTTGGAGACACTGTGGATAGCTGGTCACCTGGCATAACTTACAGGATGAACATCGGATTTTGAAGACCTTAGAATGTGATCATACTTTATTGCCATATATGGTATTGCTCTTCTTAATGGCTATTACTCTCAGCTCTAAAATTCATGTCAACCGTTGACAACTGTGGGAAAATTGTGATTATGTCATGTGAAAGTAGTCAGTAGGATGAACAACTTGCAACTTGAATCATATCATTTCATTCAGAATTGAGGGAGATATAAGCTATTTAATCTGGCCATTTCATGTATTTTTTTGATGTTGTTTTGTTATTTTAGACTAGACAGGCTGGGGCTATGCCTAGTGCTGGCCAAATATAATTATATTATTTTATGGGCATAATATATTATAATCATATCATATTCAGAGCTTCAACCCAATAATATATTTGTAGTATAATATAATCATATTCAGCTGCAAAATATGAATATGTTATGAATATATTGAACTATAATCTAGTATGCATATCTCTTGATATGTTTGACATATTTGCTGCTAGAAAACAGAATCAAAAATATAAAATACATGCTGGATTGTCAGGGCAACTTCCTTTTCAAGTTGGGCCTCCCTGGGTTACATAGGACTCTCAAAATACAATCAGGGGCATTGCCACTAGTATTAGGTTAGCTAGTAGACACTTGATCAGCTCCTGACACTTGTTCCTACTAAGAGTAATGTATGAATCACCCTCTATAATAGATAATATGTGACATTTATCAGAAGTAGGGCTAACTCAGACTAAGATTAGTACTATGACTGAGTACATGGACTGAGAAAGTAGCTGTAATCATCCCCCTTACTGTAGTTGAATATTCTGTGACTATAATATAGTATAGTCATAATATAATATAATATATTCAAACATAATCATATTCAAGTGATCCACGAAGGGCATAATATATTCATAATATTCTTAATATATTCAATATTTAATCAAGCATAATATAATTCTGGCCAGCACTAGGCTATGCCCCAGCTTCAAACATTGCTGCACAGCTTTTGAAGATTGAATGTGCTAATTTTATTTATGAGTTTATGAAATCTCAAGATCTATATGCCCTACATACTAATGTTACAGCCAAGAACAATATCACAAATAGCCTTAGATTAGACTTGTTTATGGTACTTGGTGCTCTAGTTTTACATAGTTTTACAGCTTTGTGTCCCAATTAGACTCTTTACAGCTTTTCTTCCTAAATTAGGGTTTCAACAGCAGTGAACCCAAAAGTGGAAATGTGGAGTAAATGAATTGCTAAAGCTGATGCCAAACATGTGCATACATTCACATGAAATAATGAAAAGTCCATGAAAATGGTCAGCTTTGAGTGGCTCTCCTGCACTAGAAAGTGGCCCAAATTACACAATCCAACTTGTATTTGACTCAGAAGTATCCCTTCATCAAATCAGATCAAGACTCCCATCAGGCCATCAGAAACTGACTCCAAAATTTTAGCCTTACGAAGACTGGAAATTACAGGTATTGCCATATACACAGTATATCATGGAATTTGGACACTGGTTTCTCAAAAATCCTTGAAAATAATAAAATAAGTGGTTTGCACACATGAAACAATGATATCGCATCCGGAGACTGTCAAGTTTATTCAAAATTTTTGCTACTAGCAAATAGTATTGTGAGGGCCGTTACCAGAGCCAAACATGCGACAGTTCTACGCCACGAGCTGAACCCAAGCAATTGGCTATATTTTTGCGCTAGTACCACAGCCCAGCCCATTTCTAGCTTCCGGGATTCGAAAGGTAAACGCGGACATGTTTGACCTATGCGAAGTAGCAGATGTGGAGGGCATTCGAAGTTGCGTACAGCACACCATTCGCATACGGCGCCGCATCGACTACACTTTCAATCTGGGGCAGCTGAAGCACCGGCTGTACACGGGTTAAGGAGCTAGTTCCTGCAGGGGCCGTCTCCGCAGGGGGCAGGACGCAGCACTGCGAGGCACGGCGGCGGCCGGACGAGGGTGCATACACAAGGCGGTGGCCAGAGTAGTAGAGCGCGACGGGCGGCAGAAGCCCGTGATGCATCAACTGGGGGGACGGAGTAGGGGCCAGCGGCTGGCGCGGGACAAGCGTTGGCGAGGCCGGATTAGTGAGGCTAAGCCGGAAAGCGTACATCTCGTAGGTCGGCTCGGCGGGGTTGCTGGCCCACGGGATACATGCCCAGATGCGGTAGGTGTGCTCTGCTATGGGACTACGAAGGACCCAGAGGTAGTTCATCGGCGCGGCGGTGGGGCGAGGAATGAACGGCATTGCAATCAATGCGCAGCTGGCCAGGAGGAGCTCGAAGAAGTAGTGTCTTGTACTGGATACTGATGAACGGCAGTCAAGGGAGGAGGTCCAGTGCGGCTCCAGGACAGACAGGGAGATCGCCCCGACGCGGGCCAACGCGCAGGCAGGGTTGAAAGAAACAGAGGTCTCGACGAAGACAGCGTGGTCTGTGTCGTCGAGCAGCGTTATAGAGAGGTTCGTGGCGGGATTTGCGTGAATGATACAGCTCTCGCGTGTCTGCCAGTTGGCAAACACGTGGCTGAACCCACGGCTGATGGAGAAACACACGAGTGGGCGACCTTGCGCGATGGAGATGCCGACGTAGGCGCGCGATTCAGGCAGCTGCACCGTCAGCACTGTGTCAGCGGCACCAGTTTTCAGGTCGAGCGCAACGATATCGGCCAGCCTGCAAACGATCAGCTTCCATCACAGTACTTACTTACTAGGAGCTCTGTGCAGCAACACTTACAGCACGCTTTTTGCATCATAAAAGCAAAAAACCACAACAGCTTTCCTCCCGCCTTCGACAACGCGAACGGCAAACGAACGCGCTCGATCTGCTGGCGTACTCGGCGCATGAGACCACACGAGTTCGTCGTCGTCGACGCTCCAACAGAAGACGGTATGCCGGCCCATAAAGAAGACGTGCGTCCCGCCCCCGCCAAGCAACGTCACGCTGCTCCAGTAGGGGAATTTGGGCGCGTCGGGGACCTCGGGGGTGAGCACCAACAGTCCGTTGGGCGGCATGTGCGCCTGTAAACCGGGCCCGATTCCGAGCGCAGTGACCGCCTTCCAAATCGCCCCACCGTCCCCTACTGCCGGCCCGCACAGTAGAGCTTGAACGCAGTCTAAGAGCTGCTTGGCGGATGCGCTCGCCAGATGTACGGCTTGTCGGCGGTCGAACCGGAGCATACCAGCGCCCACCAGCTTCTGTGTAAGGGCGTGCCACACTGGGCGGCTGACCGCCACGTTGCGCAGAGTGGAGTTAGTCTGAAAGATCTCAGCGAGGAGAGGCAAAGCTCGTTGCGGTTACCTCGGAAAGAGTCAGTGTCGATGCGACATCGAGCAGCGAAATGATCTCGATGAGGAGGTCTTCCGGTAGCATGTGGAGTGGCATCGTGGTTGTGGCAGGAGGCAAAATCAGCAGATTGTTGTCAGCACGTTACTTACAGTCACGCAGTTATCGGTTATCAGGTTATCATCAGCGTTTGTCACACTCCCATTTCTTTTGGAAAAATTTAGATATACTTGTGTTATCTTTTTCAAGTCGCTAGAGATAAGATGATATACTATTATACCTCATATGAACCATAATCTAGATTCTAGGCTACCGTTTGCGGGATTATTTTTTCTCGCCAACTTGGAGTATAGCTCTCACAGGCAAGGAGCATTGAAACCAACAAAGATCGGGTTAGGCATTGCAAAAAATATTTACGGGGAGGTGGAAGCTGGGACTACTATTCTACATGTGTTTGTTGTTTTACTGGGGAAATTGCCCGTTGACAATGGGATCCGGATCGGGAATCGAATAGTTAGCGAAGCAATCGAACTGGTAGTCCACCTCGCCGATGCGCTTCTGAAGCGCGCTGACAAACGTGTCGAGAGGACATGTCCCGTCAGAGTTGGGCTGGCAGCCCGCGAGTCCGGTCAACGGAAGGACAGCATCGTTGAGGATCATACGAATGTGTGTTGGCTTTGTGTTCGCACTGGGAGTGGCGGGGGCAGGACAGGTGAGGACCTGTGTGACGATATTCGACGCGAACGGCGCGACGTTGTTGACGATGTAGACCTATGGCGCAAATAAGCTGGGAATCCTAAAGATGTGGGACGAAACAGACATGGTTCGGCGGAATATGGTCCGTCGGTAATGGTCCCTCCGCAGCGAGCGCTGTGAAATTCATCGCCGTAAGAACTAGTATCAAAGTTCAGTTCGAAGAAGCAGCATGAACCCCGCAACACACGCACTTGCGGAAATGATTGTGTCGTGCGTAGCATCCACATAGATCGGTTGTCCAAAGGGAAACAGCGTTTCGTTAGTGGCGATTGAGGCATTTATTGACGTGTCGAACTTGGTTATCCGCGTTTGAGTAAGCCGGGAGAGAAGCTCTTGTGCGTAACCAATACCCTGCGCGCTCGTAGTCGGGTTTCCCGGCCCGAACGAATACCAAAATGCGAGATCGTTGCCATATGAGTAGCCAGTCCATTCATCGTCGGTGAAGAGAGGACAGAAGGTCGAATAACCGAGCGCCACTGTCTGTGGATACGGTGCTTTAATCAGCTCAGGCTGTTGTGATCAACATGAGAGATTGGCTGACCTCATAAGCGCAGAGCTGTTGCATTGCGAACAAGATGCTTGGTGTCAACGGCAACCCTTTGATGAACGGCTGCAGCCTTTTCACTGCTGGTGCAAGATACACGTTAGCCCATTTCAGCGCTTGTGTTGTGCCGAAGTTGGAGTGATCATTGATTCCATTGGTACAGTCGTAGTACGGTGAAAGCGTTGAATTGAATCCCAGCTGTTCGATCTGTATCAGTTGGTGGTAGTCTTGCTGATAGGTCTGGACGCCAAAGAAGCCGGCAGCGAAATGTAAACTACGTCTCATGAATTAAGGGTCGTTGTAGCGGAAAGAAAGAAACTCACGCGGAGTCCAGCATGCGGCCTTGAATGCTTCCTTAATCTATGAGTCTCGCTCAGAAGAGTTGACTTACCCTGCGACGTTGTCCTCCAGACGGGAAGTTTGGTGAATCCCTTCAGCAAGTCGCCATACTTGACACGGAACCCGACACCCAAGTCGAATCTAGCATAGAAAGGCGTGAGTCTTCCTGGTATACCCCGGAGATAGTGACGTACAGCTGCGACCGACCAAATGGCGTCAAAATCTCCGCACCCAGTTTATATTCCCATGTGGCGAGGAAGGAAAGTGGACCGGTGACGGTGAGGTTACCTGCCTGCGCAACGGCATGAAGTGCTGCGGCAAAGGCAGAGGGCGGTGCGCCGGTCGTCGGGTACCGTGCTCCATGGCGATGGACGAGGTGAACCTGGTCGAGTTGGCAACCCGCGGGTATCTTGGGTGAGGCATTGGCTAAACGTGCCGAGAGCCAAGCGGAGGAGAGGGATTGCCAGGGCGCGAGGTTGCCGAAGTGGTGTAAGACATCGAAGGGCGCTTTTGAGTTGGGGTTGGAAGTCGCAGGGTTGATCAGGGGGAAGACATTGGTGAATTTTGCGATGCTGGGAGCGGTCGCGATGGCTATAGCCTCGTCGCCCGCTAACGCGATGGTCAGTCTAGGTTGGAGGAACGATAAGGGTTCAACGTACTGGGCGTGGGTCCCGGAAAGCCGACTTGCTCACCATCCGGAAATGCAGGGTCTGGCACCGTTATCGTTTGTCCAGCCGGTGGAAACGCGAAGGTGGTCGTGGCGCCAGCGAAAGACGACACGGTGATGCCAGCGGGAGGAGACGTCGCATGAATGAGAGATGGGAGAACGAATGCCCAAGCGAGCAGGCTGTGGCTGCCCATGACTAGCTAGCTGAGGCAAAGCGGGTGGTCGTGTGCGTGGTGCGATTTTAAAAGGCGTTTCGTGCCGGCATCCGGTCCCTTAGAATCATCAACACCGGTGACCGAAGGTGCTTCTGGTTCGATGCCGTTGATGAATACACACGATGACGTCCGACATTCTGTCAGTGTAATTTAGTGGTGGTTCCAAATAGGAAGCCTAGGTGATATCCGCACCTTCCGAACGGCGGTGAACAGCGTCGGGTGTGTGGCTCAAAAGACAGGCTCCACGTCCGGCCCTGCGAGCAATTTTCCGAGTCCACACATCTCCTCATCCACTTATAAAAGTGTCAGGCCGATGAGCGACAGGGACGTGGCTACAATCTCTCCATCTGAATCATGATGAGCTGTAGGACGTGAGTGGAATTAAGACATACGTGGAGGCGCACATACGACGGCGGAAGTCCGCTGCCACCCTCATTAAACCAAAGGAAGAAGACGGGTTTCACTGCCAGAATCACTGGCGGAGAGGCGAAACCTGATAGCGCGTCAACGATGGTGCGACGGTGGGTTCGGGGAGGGGTACACCTGTTAATGCGGTCGAAACGGCGGGCACATCATCGGCCCACCGGAAGTGCAAAGCCCAGAGAGTCCTGGGGCGGCGATTGGGTGACGGTGGAGTGAAAAAAAGGAAGAGACTCGGATCAAATGTGACGTCACGTATCACGGGGTACATGATAGTACTGAATCCTGGATCAACGGCTCGTTTCTTTAAGATGGACACAATTCGCACTATCAATAGCGGACGATGACAGACGGACAAATACTCGCTGTAGAAACAGCACCGGCTGAACCTTGAGCGGTTCACCAGTGCCAGTGCTTATCTCATCAGAGGTCTAGATCTTCAGTCCGTGGATCACTGTCAACTACGCGACCGCACAGCTTCCGCTTTTGCTTCTCACCACGAAGAACGACGAGCGCAACGTTGCATGTCGTTCTTCAACCGGCGCTCAAAAGACTCGCACCAGGGATCCGAGAAGGACGATAACGGCCGTGAAGAGAAGGGTGGCAATGAAAAACAGCCAGCCAGTGGCTCAAGCTCTAAAGGGTCGTTCTTCGGTGCTGCAACTCGGGCGATCCGAGGCCGCTGGATAACCGAGCAGGCGCGGGACCTTCTCGCGGCGCACCAAAACCCCCTCGTCCCACTCACAGATACGACGACAGCAAAGTTCTGGGAATACTTCACGTGCGTCGCCTCTTACCTGTTGTTTTGCTGAGCTCTCATGGGCTGACTCGTAACTTCTGTGGACAGTGACGAATACGCCTCTGCCGACACGCGAAACTTAGTTGTTCTGCAATTCACTGCCCGCGCACAAGCGACAGAAGCCGAGGCACATATCATCGCCAGCTATGTTCGTGCGTACCCAACGGAGTTCGAGAAGCTGTTTGCATCACCGCTGCCGAAGACGAGGGCTTACATTGCCTTACTGCTGGGGTATCTGGCTGGTTGGCCCTCCTGTTCCGAGACCGCACTCGGGATGAAGCCCTGTGAGAGGCTTGTAGGGCTCTTCTGGTGCGTAAGACGGGGCATGTGTGAACAACAGTGACTCTATTCACAGTGACTCGGACAGAGAAGTCAGAGACTCTGCACTGTTTGCAATATTCAAACTTGCTGTCCATCCAGACGGCGCCCAGATGGCCGTTGGGGCGAACGTTCTACAGCACGCTCCAGCCTTCTTAAAGTCGCCGACGGTCAACGAGCGACTGAAGATGCTACATATAATAGCAAACATCGGCAAGCACGAGAGGACTGCCGCTGGTGTTCTTACCCTGGGATTACACAAAACGCTCGTATCACTTTCAAGGTACGGGCAGCGATGCATTTTGGTAACGAGAAGCTGACTGGCATTGAGTGATGCAAACCTTGAAATCCAACGCGACGCGCTTCTTGGTATTGTGCAATTGAGTCAATTCCCAGCCGGAGCACAAGCACTCATTGAAACTACCATCCTGGACCGCATGAGTCTCCTCACCTCTCCGGAGGCTATCATTCGCGCGCATGCCTGCCACCTTCTCGGTCGGCTCTGCATCCACCCGACAGTACCCGCCGCTTCCTCTTCCGTTGCTTCTATAAATCTGCAAGAACAACTTGTCTCGCTTGTGAGGTGTGCAACGTCATTCTTCCCCTCCTTCTTCTAAGAGAAACGTAGCGACTCTGATGAGAACGTGTCCCGACTAAGCTTCTACGCTCTTTCGAAGCTCAGTAAACTCGCACCTGGTCCGGTCGCCAGGGCCGGGGCTACTCAGTTTGCGATATCGAACCTGTCTTCGACGCGAGTCGCGACAGTTCAAGCTGCTTTCGAGATTCTGACCAATTTATCGCGAGATGAGGCAAGCATGCCGCTTGTGCTCGCCGCCAACGCATGTGGAGCGTTGGTCGGGTTGTTGGAGTGAGTCGGTTTACTTCCGTTCTTCATTATCTACGGCTTAAATGAAACTACATAGGAACGACAAGCTGCGTCATAATGCTCTCGTCGTGCTCCTGCAACACGTTAAATGGCCTGACGGTGCCGAGCTGGCAGTGCAAGCGGGGATTTTAAATCATCTTACTGGTCTGATGCAGCCCCAAAACGATGCAACAATTAAGCAACAAGCTTTCCAAATCGTGGAACAAATCGCTAAGGTACCCGTTGTAATCAGTGCCCTCCTGGCGAGCAATCCATGTCCATCATTAGCTCTCCATCTCAGGTGTGCCATGCAGCATTTAACATCTGATTTCTAAGCTATGTCGCAGTGACACCAACACAGCTCTCCAAATGACCGCCCTCTACGCACTAGCTACATTATCATCGACATCTGCTGGTGCCCAAGCGGTCCTCGAAGCAGATACCCTTGCAGCCATTCCGCTGCTTCTCCATTCACCGCTGACAAGGGTGCGACAGCATGCGTGTCTGGTCTTGACCCAGCTCGCGAAGGACTCGGAAACATGGCTTGCAGTTTTCAGCATTGATCCATGCACACGCTTGATCGAGCTTGTTTCGTGAATATTCTTCATTCTCTTTAACAATCCTGCTAACACTAATACATCAGTGACTCGAGTATTGTCGTCGTGCAAGCGGCTGTCCTCGCCCTTACTGCACTTAGCCTCTGGCCTGAGGGCCGCGAAGCAATCGCGGCTGCGAACATGGCCAGACGCAGTGCGACGCAAGAGGATGGAGGGATAACCCTCCTCTGGAGCGCGGACGGGACTTTGGTGTGTTCGATGAATATTGACGTGTGCGTTTCTTTTTCGACCCACTTCCAGGCACGGCGCTAACATATATTGCTAGTCCGGCAACAGAAGCGACGCCGGCTCTGAGCCTTCCCTTTCCTTTCCGTGTCATCCGCGTCTTCCCCTCCCCCTGCTCCTGACGGCACGCCTCATAGCGTCGCATCGTCAAAATTGATGAGTGTGGTGACATTACTCCGCAAGCCGGGCCTTTCAGATATCGCCGGGGTGCTACTGAGACGTGTATTCGTTCTCCTCCTGCCGATGCCTTGGTTCACGGACGATTCCGAATCTGCAAACGGCCTAGAGTTTGCGGTGCATTCCCGTTATCGGACTCTCGTCAGGTACGTCTGGGTATCCGTAAGCCAATCCCTCACCGACAAGCTCACTTTGTAGGGTTTTGTTCCTCGCCGTTACATTCCCTGAAGACAGCAATGCAACTGAGGCAGAACCGAAGGAAGGCGACAAAGCGTTGAACGCGGAAGACACGCTTCTGGAGCACCTGCGAAACCTCATCATCGACCAAGCTCAGGCGCCCATGATTGATGAAGATGTCGCATTCGTTCTAACGTGGTTACTGGTGCAAATTTCGCGGAGGACCCACCATGTCCCCGGGGTACGCGAATCGGCCGCAGCACTGCCGCAGCAGCCGCTGCAGCGGCACTTTGCACAGCCACGGTGAGCGGCAACTCAGGTAGGCGGTTCATACACATTAAATCCTTATACTTGTCTACATTTTGAATAAAATGATTCAATCTACACTTGTCTGAACAGCTAGAATGGAGTAAAGTTGTATTTGAACATGGCAAAAATGCCTCATCAAACGTGGTACAAACAATGGTAAACAGCCGCTGACGGCTCTGACGCGGCCCCAGCGGCACTTTGCAGCGGTAGATGCTGAGTGACGCATGCCGCTGCCGCTGCTGACATAAGATTTGCAGCGGTAGTGCAGCGGCAGTCAAGCAGCAGTGCAGCGCCGCGGCAGCGGTCGTGCTGCGGCACTGCTGCGGCAGTGGTGCGGCGCCCAGCAGAACTGTCACAGTGCCGCTACAGTGCCGCTACACACCTTCTGTACCTCAGACTTGAGTCTGCGACGGCATATTACGCAAGGGTCACCTGACAACACAGCCACACACACCTCTTGACTCCGACTTCCATCTACATCTGGACACACGATGGAAAACACTGTGCTTTGGCTTCTCGGTGGCTCAAATTTGGTCCTCCTACTGATTCTGGGGCTTTACCATGCCGCAGACATCCTCTCCGCGGCAACCACACTTCTCGCTCAGCTCACGACACATATTTATGCAACAACTCTTGTGGTCTATGGATTCATTATCCTGGGCCTTGTCCTTGTGGTCTGGAAGCTCTCGGAATCTGTCGATGAGCTCGACCACACTGTTTTGGAGCTGGAACAACGCACAGCGCAGCGGCGTTCCCTCTCACCGCGCGCGAATTCCTGTCTTTGACGAGAACGGTATGTGGCGTGCATGCGTTTGCCAGACTGCTGACTCAATGCCTGTGGCTAGACAAGCTCGTTGCCTATGTTCGCTCCAAATCCCAGATACAAGACCATGCAGCGGCAACTCGTACAAGTCCGACACAGCATGGTGAGTGAAGATCACAAGGCCGCCGAATTGTGCTGATAACATAAAAGCTCCCAGTCGCACTGGCACTACTCCGACGCTTCATCCGACCGCGGGAACAGCTCCTCGGCAGCCATCTTATATTACGCTGGAGGCCGCCTTATGGGATGGCTGGCCAGACGGCCATGTTGCGTACAACATTCCTGCCTCGCAAATGTACGAGGTGGGCGTGTTTTGGAGCCTGGAGGCTATCAAAGGCCCTCGTGGTGGCAGCCTGGACGCCGAGACGGTGGACAAAGGGCGTATCTTCCGCGGGAAATGTTACGGAGCTATTACTTGCTCTGCACCCGACTGCCGTTACGCCGTTCTGATTGCCCCGGAGCAGACGCTTAAAGCCATCGCCGTCCAGCTACTCCAATTCTGTCGCTGCGGCCAGTCGCTCGAGCGGCTCCGATGCGGCATTGAATGCACCCGCACCGCCTTTCGAAGCGGCAGCCTCATCACTCACCATGGCAAGCATCTCCATGGACGCTACACACATCGCCTCCCAGCAACGACGGCATCGACGAACGCCAGAGGTACAATGCACCTGGTGGAGCTTGGTCCAGGCGACACATTCCCCTTGATCCCAAAGCCTCGTGCCCGGAGTCAGGCTCAGCAACGCCCCAGCAAGTTATTCCTGGCTGACACGCCGGATCGTGATGATGAAAGCGAGGTAGAAGATATGGATATTGGAATGGAGAAGCGGGGTATGGGGGAACAAGGGGTAAATACGGAAGACGGTGAGTTATTGTCTTCGTACTGGTTGATTCGACTCATTGCTCTAGATATGAGCGAAGCTGAGCGCCAGGAGATGCTGGCTGACCCAACAGCAGATGAAGACTGAATGTAACCATGTAGTTTCAGAATATAGGGTCCGCCGTTGCCACATAACCGATGCAAGACAACGCCCCTTTCAACTTTTGACTCTGACTACCACCAGCACAGTTCCATGAGACTCTTCGCAAGTTTTCTGTTCTAACGGTTCAGTTGTACTGACTCTTCAAATAGAGTGACATTGGCGGTTTTATCCAGAAGGTGTTGACCAGCCAACCGCGAAAGCGTCCGCGCCAACCGCACCGTCATTCGGACGACGACAGCTCTTCGGCATCAGAATCGGACCATGGCGTTCCCACCAGTAGGTTTTTGCGTCAACATACATATTTGCTGTGGATTGAATGTGTACAGTTGACGAAGGCGATTTAGCACCTGGCGCACAGCCAATTCTCGACGAATATGGGCAAGTGCAAGCCTATCGCTTCGGTGCTCTGGAGCCTCGTCCTAGCGGCAGACGTCGTACGTCGCGCTCTGCAAGCCCACCCGTTAGCGGCAGACGTCGTACGTCGCGCTCTGCAAGCCCACCTGTGCGTCGTAAACGAGATGAAGACGTTACTACCCGATCGCGCAGCCCATATCGAACTCGTCCCGGCAGTGAGCGCCGCCGCTCTCGCTCTGCAAGCCCAGCTCGCCGTTACGAAAAGGCTGAGGAGATAGCGCGATTGCGCAGTCCTCACCGCTCCCGCTCGACCATTCCCAATCGCCATCATGAACACGCGGACATGACGGTGCGCTCAAGCCGAGCTGGCACTCGCAGGAGCAGCACACAACGCGGCGCCGGGTCTACAAGTCCAGCTCGCCGTCGCGACCCTGGCGAAGAGACAGCCCGGTCTCATAACCCTAGGAGCCGCTCGTCAGCAAATAGCCGTCCTGCCGCCAGATCCCAGATGTCCAAAGCGGCACGTTTGGATGCGCTAGTGAAGGAAAACCAGTGGGACTTTTGGCCCGAGGGCAATTGGGCTGCCGATTATCCCTTGGAGATGGCGACAGAATTCTTCTTCGCCACGAACTGGGCCTTTGAGGGGATAGGCGGCGCAAGGTCCAATGGCGATTCGAATGCCGAGTTTTACGCTGATGGGCGAGTCACACGTCGGAAATGCTTGGGGTACATGGCCTGCGAAAATCCCAACTGCCACATTATCATCCGACCGATGTCCAAAAACCAGCTCCGTGAGCGACAAAAGAACACGCCCTGTGCTTGTGGTGCTAAAGTGATTCAACACGAGTGCAAGGCAATATCACAGTATTGGATTTATCGACATGGCGCGCGCGGTACGAGAACACGGAGCACGGCCACATCAGACCCTTCAACGAGAGTCATTTGACGCCGGCGCAAAGTGTCGCTTTGGCGACAACAGTCCGTGAGAATCCAAAAGTCGGCCCCTCACAACTCCTTGCTGGCCGTGCAGCTGTCGGTGGCCCTGGTGTATCTATTGCAGAGCTGAATCCTCTTCTCCTCAATCCGCGTCGTGTCGCATACGAGCGAGATAAGGTACTCGGGAAGATCGGCAAAAAGGCACAAGGCGCAAACTTCAGACAAGATATTGACAAATTCATCTCCGAACTTAGTCCTGACTGGACGTGCGTTGTTCATGATGAGGACAACATCCAGCTCGTCGTTCTTCAATCACAGTTCATGCGCCAACTGTCCATCAAGGATCGTATCGAGGAAGAGGCTGTCAATGGCATTGTATCCGATGCGGCTCACAACTATTTTCGAAGGAAGAACCATTATCTCTTCGTCAGCTCCGTTTTCGAACCCGAGCATCTCAAATGCTGGGTTCCTATTGTCATGTCATATTCGAACGGTGTCTCTGCGGCGCATTACAAGCCTCACTTCCTACAAGTTTATGAGGGGCTTCGAGTTGAGTACAAACAGCTTCCGACTCCAAGACCTTCATTTGATAAGCTTTCGGCTAACGTATGACGATTTCAAAAAGCACTTTTGAACCCCTCACTAATTCTTCCCAGGTCGTTGACTTCAGCGATGCGCAGCGACTTGGTCTGGAGAATGCTTTTGTTCAGTCCAACCTCGATCTTCCCGACAATCTCCGTTCGGAAGATGAACTCAGGCGTGTTGCGAAGGGCCTTGTTAAGGGCTGTGAGCGGCATTTTCGTGAGCAGGTCGAGCGTGTAAGCAAGATCAGCCATGTTATTTCGACAACACAGCGCCAAACCTTTCGCAACCGCGTCATTTCCTTGCTCAACTGTCAGTCCACTTCCGAGTTCGAGTCCAACGCTGCTGGAATTGTCAAGGACTTCCCGCTGGTGGAGCCATGGATGTCGTGGTGGCTTCGTCCTCAACACAGAGCAATGTTATTTCGCTCAGAGCTGGTGATGGACGCTGAGCTCTTCTACTCGTTGCCGGCGACAACCAACGCTGAGGAAGCAATGCATCATCGGCTCTATCAGATGGTGAATCGTGACAATTCATTGTTTGAAGGACTCCGCGGCTTGGTTGCTGTCGGAAAGCTACTCAATGATCAATTTGTCTACGCCAAAGGTGTGAATCGCTTATTACCTGACTTGACGAATATCTCACCACATCTCTCAGGAGGCGGGAAAATCTTTTACGGATCCGACCCTCGCCGTTGGAAAGCGACAAGTGAGATCCATGGCCGCACACATTATTCACGGGGCCATACATCCACCGCAGCAGAACGCGCTGACTCGCGGCCACCTGATCGCGCCGCTGATCTTGTGCCAAATGCACGCAAAAAGCCGCAAAGTTACGAAGAAGCCCCCTTCTGCTCCTGTCTACCAACAGTCGTATCCTTGGTACAACAACTCTTGCTGGCTAGACTCCTCACTTACCGCCCTGTACGCCGTTGGCAGCCGTGATCCGGCATCATTTGAACGGATATTGGGCGCGCTTTGCGCCAATCAGCCGCTTAATTGGGTCTATCGTATTATTTGCCGCCATACAGACGAGTTGTTGGGCGCCACAGCTGATGCATCACTCTTGGGGCGCTTGCGTAATGAAGTGCGGCAGTTGATGGTCAAATCGCCGATTGTTCGCGGACTGAAATCTGAAGATCAGACCTACGCAGTTTTTGTACATTCTCAAAAAAAATTATGTCACTGCTGCTGACGTTCACACAGGGATGGCTTTCGGAAGCAAGCGCCTACAAGGAGGTGCTCAAAGTGCAGCAAGCAGATCCCGCTGTGCTTCGACGTGCAGTACGCATGTTCCGACCACAGGCAATCTATGTTCGCCGGTGTTATGGGGACCCAGATGTCTCTGACCATGCGGAACCACACTGGCAGCTCGATCAACTTCAATGGATAGACACAATTCAGCTCCCTATCAACAACTTCACGGACTTCAAAGGAAAAGTCAACAATTGGTTCTTACAACAGTTTCTCAACGCTGATTCTGGAAGCTCATCCTCCTGCTGGCGGCAAATCGACGGGAAATACTGTTGCGATGGTGCGGCTGTGTTCTACTCATACATTGTTTCCCTTCCTATCGTCCTCGTCCTCGAGTTTGTCGAGCCGCAAGTCTATGACTGGGACATTCCGGCTCAGATGTTGCCTCTCGATGACGAGTTTGAAGCAGCAGGTATCAAGTATGAGCTTGTTGCTCATGTCTATGGCGGCAGCAATCACTTCATTACCCGGTATGTACTCCCAGACGGCAGAGTCTTCGACTATGATGGTATGGCAAATGGTGGCAGGGCAATACACAACACAACAGCATCATTCGAGAGGCTGATGACCGGCCGTCTTTCGAAGTTGCCAATTCCGCCACCCTACCAGATGTCCACCGCCATATATCGCCTTGTTGGTGGCGAGCCAGCGCAGCAGCGATTCCAGGCAGAGCGTATCAAGAACGCTCCGTTTGGCCTGCAATTCCATCGTCTCTCGGATGGACGCACACTTAGCCATGCGGAGCTCCAGCGGCCAGAGGCTACACGTCTGGAGAACCGACCATGGACGCAAGGGAGGAGCGCAACACGATATACCGAGTATGTGGATCACGCAGTTGATCCAAGCTTTCCCAAGACCCCACCACGAAAGCGGCGTCCATCGCAGCCACGACAGCAGCCGCTGCCTACGAAGCCCACACAGCTGCAGCAGCCACGACCACAAGGACGGCCACAGCGAGCGCCGCCAAAATCAGCACAACAACAGCCGCAGCCGCAGCCGCAGCCACAGCCACGGCCACTGCCACGGCCCACACTACGGAAGCGCCAACTCCGAGTCGAAAGCAGCCTGGAGCCTGAGTCTGAGGATATGACATCGTCGAGCTTGAGTCCAGCTCCAGCTTCCCCAGCGCCAGATGACAGAATGGAGACTGCGGATACCAATGGGCCGCAACTTGCCGATCTGTCAGCTATTATCGAGAATGCAGTAAACTCGAAACCAGCAAATGCCGAACCTTACGACCTGGGCCCGTATCGGCCTGTGGTGTGTATCTGCGGAGAGACGATGGAAGGATTTGACAGTGGGCAACAGCGTCTGCTCCAGTGCGGTGATTGCAGAAACTGGACGCACTGGCGCTGCCTACCTGCAGGTGTTGACTGGGAGCGATCCGAAAATAGGTTCCGCTGTCTTCCATGTGTCACGAAATCGGTCGAGCGTACATCACTACGGTGAGTGGCTGTCATGGGGACTCGAATTTTATACTCACTTTGTCAGTCTCGGAGATGTACAGCTGCAACCACTCAAATTGACACATCGGAACGTTGTTCTCTGGGCCCCCGCTGAGCTAATCAACATCAACCTACATCGTCATGACCGCGAATATCAATGGCGTTGGCTGGAAGATATTGTCTGGTCAGACGGAGAGCGCCCGACAGACCCGCTTCACCACAGTGCGGAGTGGCCTGATTCACTTGGGGTGTTAGATAGTGCCGAAGGCCAAGAAAACAAGTTGTGTATGGTGCGTTGACTCTGTTGCACGGCCTAATAGTACCAGACATTCATTTCAGATGCGCGCGCCACTGGCTTTCAATACCGAAGTCGATGAAGGTGATGGCATCAATTCAGCGCTGACGCTCGCGTGTGTGATTTCGCTCTCTCAAATCATCCAATTCCTTGCAGAGGGAACACACCCCATCATACGCGAATTTGATGCTGACAATCAAGGTGTCAAACCGGGGGTTTTTATTGACGACAATTGGCTAACAAAGCGTTCCCTGCTTTCCTCCGAGTTCCCTGGTCTTGACCCAGGCCTTTGGGCTACTTTGGGAGAGCCACTTCGCTTGCTGACGTATCACTTTCGTCAAGGTGAGATTGACGGTGCCGAAGGACGAGCCGCAACAATTGCAGCCGCCTTCTGGATCACTTTGGCAATACAGCAGAATCTCAATGAACCATGGGATCTCGGCGCAAGCACTTATCTTGATATACAGGCTGGCCTGTTGGTCGAAACGCCCACAATTTCGCTCACGCGGAAAGCCATCAAAGCTATGCAGATGGCTGCAACCGGTACAACTCACCTAGTCAACTCATACCTGCGTTGGACTTCACCCCACTCGGTCGTCTTCTATGAGCGTGCTCAGGCTACTGTACCTGAGCAAACTCAAATTCAAGCTCTTCGGTTATTCATTCCACTTCGCTATCAAGGGCGTCCAATTTCCTATTCGGCGGACCTTCCCGATGTCGAAGCTCGACCTATCCCAAAGCAGAGAAAGCAAGTCCGCTTTGCAGTCGATGACCCTGTGATGCCAAATATCCCCCCCAAACGAGCAGCGGAGGATGCTCTTGATGGTTCTGCTTCACGAGCGAAGCGCAGTCGGCATGCAGTCGGTGTACAGTCCACAGATGTCCAAATCCCTGGACGTCGGGTACAAAGTAGGCACTCGAGTTGGTTTGTGCCCAAGGTATGTATTTCTTGTGTCCTTCTTTTTACTAGCCACTTAGTCCAGAGCAGGGACACCAACTTCCAGATGGTATGAGCTGGGACGACGATTATCAGGTTGCATATGAACGGGTATGTTGAGTTAATCCCTAATACTGTTCATAGGCTCACTTTTTTTTTTTTTTTCACAGAGATCTCTGTTGCTTGCATATGGTATCATTGATGATGATGAGATATTTGATGATTGAAACATTTATATATTCACATTTCGTACCTGGAGATGAATCTGCCTTGGAAATATCCTGCCTGGTCATCTGTCTGCAAAACTGTCATTGCTATCATGAGCTTTATAATTCCAAAGCCTGGATATATTATTAAGACTTGTACCTTGGTAAGAGCATGTGTGAGAGAGCAAAGTATACATGGTATGGCTCACATTGGATCCAACTCTTTCCTGTAGATCTATAGAAACCAATTTACCAAAAAAGGAAATTTATGATATATGCCTGCTATTGAGATGTGCATGGCTATCTAAGGTTTGATGAGAGCCTAGGAGTCTTGTACACCTAACTTTCATCTCCTACAACATAGACTTCAACAACTTAAACCACTATAACCTGGTAGAAATATTATCTTAAATGTCTTGGATATTCAATACTAGAAAATCTCTGTGGTGGACATAATATTAAGACTTGGCCTTATGGTATACTATCCATTGGGCATATTTCTATATATAACTTGTTGCATATCACATCTATGAGATTTCCTCCCTCCTCTCTATGTCAGATGATGAGCTGATCCAAAAAGGAAATTATGTTACTTCTGTGCCCAGTGTTAGAATTTGCTGAAATTGGGTGAGTAAGTCTAAAGCTACCTCTCTTACCTCACTGGGCTCCCAGGAGGAGTTAGGTCTGGGCTCTTGAAATGTTATTCAAAATTTTCCTTTTTGGGTAGAGTGTACATCCTAGTAACTGCAGTGACTTGGCCACTCAGCAGGCTGAATGGGAGTGGAAACACCCCCCCCTCTTGTCTCACTGAGGAGTTGAGTCTATATAGGTCAAAAATATTGCCAAGAATTTTCTTTTCAAGTTGTGACCATGTATGCTAGATCTACACTAGGTCCTGAAACCATGGCTAACCAGCATTCCCTTGTGAAACATAATTCTAAATAAGCAGCAGTGTAGCGGCATCTCACGAGAAGTGCAGCAGTGCTGCAGCACTAATGCGGCACTGTAGCGGTACTGCAGCGGTAGTGACGCGGCACTGCAGCGGTACTGCTGCGGCACTGCTGCGGCACTGCTGCGGCACTGCAGCGGCTGCAGCGGCCAATTAGTGTAGCCCCCATGTCCCCGATGGAGTAGCGCCAGATCTTTTGGCGAATTTTAGTTGAACCTTTATCGTTAGTTAGTTCCGACTTATTTCAGTTTTATTTTTAGACAGGCGGTCGTATTATACCCGATTCCGACGGAACGATTCATGGGCCCACAGTTTCGGACCATCAACCCAAGTTCGGGGGAGTCGGGTGTAGTCAGTTGATGACGGTAGTGGTCGATCTACCGCATCAGGAACTGTACCAATAAGACGCTGGCCACCATCACCTGGCTATACACAGGTCGCTGAAATGGGGGCAGATTGCCGCAAATCGCGATAATTCGCGATCGCACTTGTTTATTGAAATTTCTCGGATCAGAAGACTAGTTATGTTGTCATCACAGCATCCGGCTTCCGAGCTTCGATCGTGCGTTTCAGCCTAACAGTGGCGCCGTCTAATCCCCCACACTTGACTTGACGCTGACAGTGACCGTCGCGTCTCCCTCTCTCTTTCCACCGACGCAGATTCGTTTCCTTCTCACTTGCTTGCAAGTCTTGCTTCCTGGTCGCAGCGCAACCTTGAATCATGTCCCACTGTGATGACTTCGATACCCTCATCTTCGATTCACCGCGAATCCTTTCGAGTACGCTCCGGTATGCCGACGACAGGGAGGTCGCATACACTATCAACACCACACCTTCTTCCGCAAGCAGGCGCTCGGAAGCAAAAGCAAACGACATCGCTGCTGCAGTATACGGGCGGAGGGTCAGGCGCGGAGCAAGTGCAGGTGGCCGCTATTGACTGGCGTGGGAAGGCGTTTGAGGTTGGCGTGGGCGGCGCCGGCGAGCGCAGACAAGTCGCCGAGCTCCACACGCGACGAGGGGCCTTTTCTTCGTCCGTCGTCCTGTGTCTCTTGCACCACTTAGGTCTGACTCTTGGTTGCAGGTCGCGCTATTGGAGCTGGTTCGACCAAGAAGAATACAAAGTCAAGTACTCCGCCGAAGTTGAGAACACATGGACGCTATTCAGCTACACTGGCGAAGTCCTCGCAACTCTTACATCCCGGATCCAACGGCTCCTCGGACCGAGCTCCCTCCCGGTTCTCCGCGTAGCTTCGAGCATCAACGACGAGGATGAGCGGAGGTTTATTATCCTGGTGCTACTGTACTCTGAGACAAAACGGCTTGAGAGTATCAAAGAGGTGCGTTAACGCATCCACATGTGCCATAGAATACTGACGGCTTTCAATAGCGACCTGCCAGTATCGTTACTGACCTACTTCACTTCCATTCATAAGTTGAAATTCCCTGTGATGGCAAGCACACACACAATCTTTCTTTGTTTATTATTGTTTTATCCCTTGCCAGCTGCAGATGTATAATGTGTATAATCAATTTGAGCTATAGGGATCCATAGCATCTACATTTTACACAAGTAAGCCAGGAATATGCTGCGCTAAAACACCCTCCTGATCTTGATTACCTGAAAATTTACTTCGCCAGTGTGCTGCGCTACTTATCAGAAATGTTTCATACATTGAGCACCAGATCTCGGTATTTCTGTATGTTTATAGCGGTATAACTATGCAAATGAGAAAAATAGCCTTATTGGACCAACCATAAGATAAGGATATATCATTACTTTGAAAATAAGGGTTATTTTCAATGACCCTTGTCATCTTAACTATAACACTGACCTTCAAAAAGGAAGCAACACCTAAGCAAAACAAGCCTGAGCGCAGACGGCACCGTTGGCACAAATGAGGGGGAAACAAATAGAAAACAAATTCAAGCCGGGGTTAATTGCAAAGTTAGAATGTAAGTGCGAATACAAGTGGGAGTAGCGCCAAAGCTGATTTGTCGTAGTCTTCATTCGCAATCTGCCTAGGTTGATTTTGCGAAAATGCGACCCAAAGGCGCATACAGAGATGGTCCAAGCATATGCGAGATTGGTGGCGAAAGCAGGTAAGTTGACGTCGTTATGGGTTTCCCAAAGACGGTCGCTGAATGAGTTCAGATGAAGTTCAAACGGGAACAGTGGCTTCAAGTGTTGACCTGGTTCCATCCCCACTGGTGGGCACCAGCCACTGTGGTCGAAGAAGGGCCTGAAATTCAGGTACACAGGTCCTGAAAAGCAGGATCCAGGTACTTTTGGCCTGGAATAAATTTCAGGTGGTCTGTATTTCATGTGGACAATTCAGGTATGTTAGAATTGGGTGTTAGGGCACATGAAATTCAGGTTATTTCCACATGACAGAAATTACATGAAATTTCAGAGACAAGAAGTAAGTAAATGCATATCTAATCAACATCTTCTGAAATGCAGTGGTATTTTTTGCCCTGAAAATTGGCCCCCTGAATTTCAGGTAAATCACCTGTTTTCCAGGCAAGTTCTACATGCATTCCAAGGGAATCTTGCCTGAAATTCCAACATGAATTTCAGGCCCTTCTTTGACCACAGTGAGCGATGCGTCAACTTCACACGAAAATAATACGGTGCCCACTGCAATAGTGTCAGCCTTGCCCGCGACCACTCGAGATGCAGCGCCCACCCCTGAAACTCCCGCAACAGTGACTCCGCAAGATGTCGCACCAGCACCAACAGCGACTTCACAAGATGTCGCGCCGACAGTGACGAGATGTCTTGCTGACAGCAACTGCAACTGCGACGACAGCTATTACACAGGTGGCTGTTGCTGCTGGTGCCGAAGGGTCTTCGGTTGAAAGCATGGGAGGCGAGGGAATGAGCGACGAGCTTCCGACATGGAGAGGATCCGATATAGCTTTGGCAACAGTGAAGCAGAAGCGAGAAGAAACCCAGCAGAAAGGAAGGAAGGGGAGGAAGGATGTCAATGAAAGTGACAAGTCGGATAGTGACTCGGGAGAGTCATTGTTGGGGGATGAGTGTGGAGAGGGTGGAGAAGCTGTTGCCCAAGTGTTGAAAACCAAGCCCACCAAGAAGCGGGCAAAAACCACTGAAAAGCCAGCCAATGGCCAGTCGAAGGCCAAGGTCAAAGGCAAGCCCTTAAATGTTGCGACCAACCCCAGCAAATGGGCTAATCCGGCCCTTGCTTCACTGCAACTGCAATTCAAAGAGGAGAACTGGAAGGAAGTCCTCCAGAAGTGGATGAAGCTTGAGGAGCTTTCTGGCTTTCTGCATTCCGTGAGTCTTTGGATCTGACATCGAAAAACGATGGGTTACAATGCACATCACATAGATTGAGTCGTTTTCGGCCTAAGAACGCCCAGTACAGATTGGAGTGTGGGTGGGCGTTGGCCGTCAAGCCAATTTCGAACCTGGCATTTCGAATGTGGCGAGATTTGCAGCCCAATGGCAAGAATGGTGGACAGCTCTAAATCCAGAGTGGTGTCGTCGAAGTACTGGAAAAGCCACGCGATTGGTTGAGGAGGATTGTAAGGGCAACCCCGGAGGCCTGAGATCAAGGTCCTAGCAGGGGAGGATCTAAAGCGTGAACATTGGTAAGCGAATACAAATGAAGCTGACCTAGCAGGGGAGGATCCAAAGAGAAGAAACTCTGAGGGTCCACCTGCTAGGGAGCTGACTATATACTGCTTGTCCGTAGCTGCCGCTGTTGGGCACAGAAGGCTTGGGCGGCGTCGCAGGCGAGGTCCCAGGGCGACCGTCGGGAGGGCGTTGACGGATCGGTGATTGTGCGGGCGAGATGGAGGGCCGGACCGGAGTTGGAACCGGAATCGGACCGGAATCGGGGGCGTCTCCGGGCCGAAAGGGAGGTTCCCCTGACATCACCCCCCCCCTTTGAATGCGGCGTCTCGACGCATAGACCGGAACGGAATCGAGTCGAAGGTCGCGGAGGCGATGTGTCGTGGCTTGCCGGGGTACTTACGATAGAACTCCGCAATTTTCTCCGGGGCAAAGACGCGGTCGAAGCGGACCCATTGGTCGTGCGATGCGTCG